GAGTTTTTTACACTATAGGACAGTTTTGAGTTTTTTATTTCATTATAAGGCAGTTACAACTACTGAGGTAGTTTTTGTAAACTAAATACACTCTCTTTCCTTCCATTCAAACTAATTCACTTTCTTTTTTTTTCTTCCTTTACTTAACGTAACTTAATAAAAGAAAAACATTATTTTATGCCTTACCTACTTCTTCTTCTTCTTCCATCTTCCATCGTTGTATTTTTTTTTCAATCACAAAGATCTCAAGAACAAAATACTCAGATCTATTACCTTTAAAACCCTAGATTTACCATAATTTTCTGGGCAAATCTTCAACTAAGTTCGTCTATTTCAATCAAGTTCTACCATGAATCTCAACTACCGCCAACTTTCGCACCACCAGACTTCACACCACCACATACTCTTAAAGTATTTTCTGAAGTCATGGTCTCACATCTTGCTGTTAGAACAAACTCAAGAACATCAATGGCTATTTTTAGATTTTTTGTTCATTTGGTCCTTTATGATTCACATAATTACATTTTGACCTCAATTCTTTGTAATTGTGCAGATGTCTACTCGAATTAGCTCCCTAAATTCTTGATTATTCATTTCAGCCTTTATTTTTAAGTACAGATTAGTCCTTTATCTTTTGTTTGCTTTTCTTTTTGTTCCATACTGTTAAAATAAACAATTATGTTTTGTGTTTGTTATGTATGTCATTCGTGTACATGAATACATGTGTCTAAATGTGTACAATCGTGGTCGTGTACACATGTGTACATTTGTGGTTATGTACATGTGTACAATCGTGTTTATGTACAATATTATATATTATTTATGTACACACATGTTCAAAATATGCTTGTTGCACATCAAAATTATGGTTTTATATTACAAAGGCTTTACAAAATGCACAACCCATATGTACATCTATTTTCATGTACACCATATTCATTTTGATTTGACTATTTTATTATGTATTTTGTATTTTTAGTAAGCTACCGTCAATCCACCTACTAGTGTACAAATTTTTTCACATATATTGATCAATTTTTAAAGTACATGTGTACATGTCATAAAGTGTACACAATATAACCAACAAATTCCTTGATTACTCCTTCCAGTATTTCTTCATAATTGCACGATGATCTTTGTTTTTCTTGCTTCATTTTTACCTCTAAAATTTCAAAACTAATAAAATGTATTGGAAAATAA